AACTTGACTCAAACAGTCAAAATACTAATAAAACAAAAGCATAGCCCTATATGAGAACAAGATGCAAGTGCAGCAGCAAAAGGTTTTCAAAAGCAGAAATAAGAAAAGAATTGAAGGGAAAAATATGTTAGTTTTTTCTTTTTTGCACTTCTTTACATTTTTTTTTGATTTTTCTGGGTTGGGCATTCCAGGGGTGTTGCTTGACAGTTGGGTGGGGTAATCTCAATCCCAAACTAATTGAAGTTTTTTCATGGTAGAGCTTCCTCGCCTGCATGATTGTGTTGCCTTCCTCATTAGGAAATCAAATAGATGGAGTCCTTCCTCACAAGCTAGAATTTTTAAATTGCACCATCCTAACATCACAGGCAGCAAGACCCACACCTTAGTCAAATCATCGACGGTCATATTGAGTGGGATGCACACATCACAATTCCATTATTAAAAAATCTGCAGCAGGAAATGGCCACAAATGTCACACCATTTGTGACGGTTGGTTGTTTCCTTCTTTCATTAAAATATAACTAGCCATTAGTTTCCTACAAAAACATATGCTTCCTGATTTCCTGGATAAACTGCATGAATTTTTTATTAGGAAGCTGATGGGGATCGTGTAGGAATTGGATAGATATTATCCAATTCCTACACGATCCCCATCAGAAGCCCTACTCACAAGTCACGGCAATTTTTGCAGCCTGTTCATTGATATATAATCCAATATTGGCCAGGAAAGACTACCAATGTTCCACATACCTCAGGATAATAATTGCTATCAATCTTTTGAAGTTCCATAAAGAGATATCTTGCAGGCTTTGAAAAGTTAGACATTCCCTGCGCAGAGCAGATAGAGTGGATTTTGTATTTTATTATGAACAACAATAATATATGGATGATCACAATGAAAGATATATTAGCATTGCAACATTTTTTGTACACTCGATAGAGTGAAATATCAAGTTTGCATTCACATATTTACAATAACTTCACCTCATTGTACACACCTAATAAAGATTACTAACAGGCCTTGGTCCAATGATATTCCTTACCTTGTGAAGGTTTTGGTTTCTTGAAGCCAAGAGTTCAAGTTCCCCTCCCCTCCCCCTCCCCCTCCCCCTCCCCCTCCCCCTCCCAAAAAAAAATGTCGTAAAAAATAATAATAATAAAATAATAAAGAATATCAAGTTGTGTACATGCAATACCCATAATTAAATCTGCAATTGAATAAGTTGTAACAAGCATATATGGCCAATTAAGAAGATTTGAAGGGCCAACCAAGATCCCTAGATAATCATTTTTGATGGAGAAGTTCACAATTCCATTGAAGAATGAAATAGACTGCTACATACTTGTAGTTTGAGCTGTAAACATGCACTCCTTGTCAATGAAATGCGATATACAGAGACACGTGCACCGTAAGTTATGATGTGAGAAAAAAATGCAAGCACCATAGTTATATATTTGTGCACCACGTTCGTCAACATGTTTAACACCATAGCAGAGTAGAGCCTATCATACACAAACACATGCACATACGGTGTGCATATCCAAGAGAAATATAGAAACACTGACAAGACATGCCAACAATTAATTTGTCATCAGATCTACCTTCCTGAAATAACCTGGAGTTTGAATTTGGATATAAAAACATTACTCTCCATATGCTAAAACTCATAGTATTAACATGACACAAATGCTAAGTGCTTTTATGAAGCAAGATAATATATCATGGCACACTTATTAAGTTTCTTAGTTTTGGACTTCTGAGAGATGGAGATAAACAAGTGCACGAGCTCACCACATCCTTCACATCTAAAATGCTTGTTGTTGAAGAAATAGGGGTCTTTGCTGCAATTGAGCATGCAGCATACCTCCACTTTAATGTTTTCTCTGTTCACGTACATGATACTTAAGAAATCTGTCTATAGTGGTTATTTGCAGGAGGGCATTGAGGTCTAGCATTCCAATCCTTTCTATGTATAAAGGTCTTCCATATCTATCAACTCCATGAAATCCATGTGGATAACATTTCTTAACCTCTGTATACTCTTCAAACTTAAATTCCTGCAGTATGTATTAGCCACACTAATCCCATGAAAATTTTCGACGAGGTAATTGTTTAGATAAAGATGAACATGAACATGAACCAGATAAAGCAGATAATAAACAGATATATTGTTTTCAATGCCTCAGTATAGCAACAAATTATTTTTTTTTCTGCTAAGAGGCTAAAAGACATCTTGAGATGTATAAACAAGCACCACAATCAAAAATTAAGTAGGCATGTCCAAAGCTATCGCAAAGAGTGGTCAATGTCATCATGTCTTAAAATAGAAAGTGAATTACTTTCTTGCTTACCTAGACCTGCTTTAATGTAGTAACACTCCCTGGCAAACAATACTAGCTTGTTTATATGTGTCCTTAAGCTCATTATTTTAACATATTGCATAAGTAAGGTAGTGCAAGCCCAAAACCAGATTGTCTGTTGTAGGTGGGGAGTTAAACTAGAGTTGATACACGTGAACAATACCAGTATCACAAACAGGATGAGTGGGAAAGATGGTTGGGATGAAAGAACTCGAGTTACCTATTAATGCATGGACCAAACTTTGACCAAAAGAATTTTTGAGAAGGTGGGGGCAATTGAATGCACTCTCACCAGCCGAATGACCATATCTAGATAGAGGGTGATGCTACCCGTGCTACATCCCTCGGATATCTGTCTCAGACCAAGATGTCACTAGGTCTCAACATTTCTCCATGTCTCTATGTGTCAACGTAATGAGAGTCAATAACGGAGGTATATATTAGCACTTATGCTCGAGTAGTCCTGGCAGCTTAGGGGTGTTCAAATTTTTGATTACTTACAATTTCCTACCCTACCCGACCCTACCTAACCCTATTGATTGGCTACTTAAAAAAATCGAGTAGGAATGAGAAATGACTATCAAATTTTCATATTCCTACCCTACCCAAATATATAAACTAAAAACCCTAATTCCCTAACGCCTCCAAATCTCTCTCGCCTCTAGCCTCCTCATCTTACCTCGTATTTAATTTTTTTCGTTACTCTTTTTATCTCAAAAATAATTACAGAGAAAATTACAATTGGTCTTGAGTGAAGAGAGGTGAATGAGTGAAATGTGTAATACAACTTTATATATTTTTTTAGTAATTATAAGATTATTTATGTGATATAATTTATAACATTGTTATTGTTATAGATGTTAGAGTTGCTAAAACATCGACTTGTTTTTTGTACAGGTAACATGATTTGTGGTAATCTATTGGAGCAGTTATAATTTTTAATGTGTTTCATATAGTTTAAACCTAAAGTAGTTGTTATTGTATTTGTGCAAGTGCAACAATTATGATGGATTGATATTTATGTCTTGGACTTTCTTGTGTTTTATTGTAATTGTTTTAAGGTTTAATATTATTAATTTATTGTGTTGTTAAATTGGTACAGGTTACTTAATTAAATTGCTAAAATGTTCAAAAATTAATAATTATAAAACGTGTTCACCCAATTTCCTACCTGATTAATTTGAACGAAAGTCGAGTAAGAATACTATACTTAATCGGGTAGGATAGGTCAAGAAAAAATTATTCCGCAAAACATCGAATAGAAAGATAAAAGACCATATTTTCTACTTGTAGGGTACAGTAAACACCCTTAAGGCTGCCCATATAAATTGTCACCAGTTGTCTCTATATAAAGTTAACGCTATTTGCAGACAATGTGTGTACATGCAACCACCTCGGCCACTTTCGCACAGTGCTTGCGCAATGTGCGCTAGATTTCCTAATCATTAATTTGGCAGAATTGACATTCCATGGATACAGCCTATACTTAGTCCTCAAGGAGGAGGTTTAGTTTCTAAGGCTGGTGGGCGTTATCAAGGTAGAAGAGTCGTGAAGTGGGTTCCTGCAGAATGTCATAGCTGCAAAGGGTAATGGTCGTTGTCCACCAGGCCATGCATCCATGAACCCCCTCTTACTCACAAAACCCCTTCAAATACACATCAGGATCCACATGTCCTAATATTCCATATGCTGATCTGAACCATCGACCTCTTGTACCTCAAGAGTCTCTCTGGATCCCAATCAAACACAACCTAATAGGTAATAAGCCATACACTGGAAGGCCTGCTAGAGCAGACTATAATGCTCGTCTACCTCCGTTGCTCAGTTCTCTCTTGAGGAGTATTCATACTTCCTTATCTCAAGGCAAGGACTACCCTTTTTAATCCCTTGGGCCAGTCGAGCAACGGTATACCATTAGTTGACTTTACACTATGAGCGTCCAATGGGTTTCAAGTTCTCTCTTAAGGGAGTACCCCTCGAGGATTTGCTAGGGATATACTTCTCTCTATTTGCAAGATCCCATTTGTATGTTTTTACTTCCGCAGCTGGCAGACTAGCCAGGTTGCACCGGATTGCCTCTAGATGCTTGTGGTGCCAACTTTTGGCCTCTTGAACAAGGATTCATTTACCATTGCCGCGACAAGAGAGCAGACCATGTCATCATGCCAAGTCATCCTCAATGCTCGTGGTGCCACTCTTGATGCTAACGAATCAGATGGTATTAAAGTAGGGTTGTCATTAAATGAGTGTACACATTGTGAAAACTCTACTTTTGATCGAGATTCTTGACCTTATCCACTTTATTATGTTTTTTTACGAAGTTCCTATAGTTTGCTATGATGTGTCAATTCCATTCAAAGTAAGAAACTTTGTTTTTCCACCTAGAGTCTTACCTTGGAGGCCCAATCACTTGCGATACCTAGACTTTCAGGTTTTTACTTTTCCTCATTGCAAAAAAAATATATATATATATATTCCTTGTCTATTCCAGCAACAGTGATAAAGTTCTGATGAATATCATACATTGTTCCTGTCACTTTACCTAAATGCAAAGTCGTCATGTCTTTATGTACAGCTAAGTTTTTCCAGATTTCATCTCAAAAACAAAAAGAACTGAAATTAGAAAGTATGGTTCCCGATCATAAGTTCCAAGTACAAACAACTACAAATACAGAGTTTGCATTCACCTTGATAATTGCATCAACACGAAACTCCTTTCGCCACTTAAGATAATTCAAAAAAGCTTCTTTTGCTTTAATTAGATCAAAATCCCTCATTCGTAGAAATCTGAAATCACAAAAGAACACCATTATACACACTAATCGCACCAACTCCATAACCAACCTTTTTTTTTTACCACTACAGGAAACCAGTGCTGACTGCTGGCATAAAGAGCTTAACAATCTTAAAAGAAACTACTTGGCTCTATCTGAAGAGGAAACAAATAGGCATCTTTTGTAATAACATACTACTTAAACCTACCGCAAAAGGGTGTGATTATCAGTGTGCTTCCCTGGCAGCTGATCCTCAAGAAGAAGCAATTCGCGAAAAGACACAACAATTTGTTCTTTTTCAGGATCATAAGCTCCTTCTAGGCTCATTTGCGTACTTTGGCTCCTTCGTATGCTCTTTGAAGATTCCCAAAACTTAAATGTTTTAGACATCATTGTGGTGAAATCTGAATTTAGCCAAGAGATTGCTTTGCAGTTGTCTTAAGATGGTAAATGTCGCTAACTTCAAGTGGATGGATGAATTGAGTTAGCCTTCAATTCAGTAAACCAAATTCTTCATAACTTGAAAATTGTCCCCTCCCCTAGCACAATGATTGGACTATCTCCCCAGTCTTGCTGTTGGTTTATTTGTACATAATGTAGCAATGATAAAAAGAAAAGAATGGTAAAGTTAATCACTGGTTCTTGATTGAATTTGTAGACTTAAAAAAGGAGAAATTATCTGGAGTTTGAGGGGGTTTTGTTCAATAAATTTCCAACGAAACCCAGAAACAAGTTGCCTGAATTTTGGAAGGCAAGACAAGATGAGTGACAAAGACAATTAAATAAGCAAAATGTAAATTATATTAAATTACAGTAGATAAACCAGTCACAAATGTGAAAACGTTTTTAGAAACGATAAAAGGCAAAACACAGCCATCTGATCAGAAGCCACAGTCTAGAATTAATAGCAAAGATCTCTTAGAAGCAAACGAAATTCAAGCTGCATGGTTTCATGAATTTGACATGAAGGTCAGATTCAAAAATACCAACAATAGATGAAGATAAAAGGACTAAATTCGAAATCATACAGAAAGTAACACAAAATCACAGTGAAATTAGATGAGTTACAGATTGCCAAATTTAGCAACAATACAAAAGATACTAGGGAATCGTCTAAATGAATAAACAAAAAGAACCCATTTGAAAATAAGTGGGAAATCGAAGTTTGAAACAGGGAAGGTGATAGAATTTATCCAATATCATGCATTAAAATGTACCTCGATGATTAGGGTGAATCTGAAGGAGAGAGAATTTAATGTGGAAGCAATGTGCTTGGTATCGGATGCCATGCTTGTTTCATCAATCGGGTATTTCGAGTTTTTCTTTTCGAATGTTTGAAGTTGAAGGAACCGCGAAAAGAAGAAAACTCCGTTAGAAGACTTGCCCAATGCACCAATTTCTCATACTCTACCAAAGCGCCAAAGCCCTAACTGCTATTTTGCGGCTTTCGGTGTCGTCGGAACTATGGTATGGTTCAGCAATTAACTCAATCGAGTTACTTGGCCTACCTGTTATCAATTTAGATTTATTTGACAAAAAATATATAAAATAAAATATTTTAAAAAAAATTACATAGTTGAGATACAAAGACGTAAACACTTATTTTAAAGTTATTTAATTCAAAATCTCTTATCTTTAATGCACCTTGATTCATGCATATTTTTTTTTTAAAAGTGATTTTATTTTTAAATTATATTTATGTATTAAATATTTACTACTACTAGTTTTATAGAAGAATTTTAATATTTTGTTTTTTTTTAAATATATTACTTGTTTAAATTTTAAAATTTGTCAATATCCGAACTTCATAATAGTAAAACAAATACACTGTAACAAAGGCAGTGTAATAATACACTGTAACAAAAACAGTATTCAGTAGTTTTGTGTATATGGTAACAAATTCAAAATATAAATTGACTATTTTGAATGAAATTATATGAAAATATATGTTTGACAAAATACAATAATACAATATTTTGTGTAAATAGTTTGTTACACTGTTATTGTTACACTGTTACACTATTACACTATTCGGATATTAAATTAATTTAAAAATAAAACCACTTTTAAAAAAAAAAACGCATGAATCAAGGGACATTAAAGATAATTCAAAACTTAGATAAGAGATTTAACAACAAATATATATATAACGCATAAATCAATGTGCATTAAATATAATTTGAAAACGAGTAATGCTAGATAGACTTAAAAATTAGACTTGATAATCTCAACCATTGAATAGATAGTGAAACCTAATAAATGTTGGGACCCACAGTGAATTCAATGGTTGAGATTATCAAATTTAGTTTTTAAGTCTACTTTTTAAGTTCATGTAGCATTGCTCATTGAAAACAAAATCACTTTCTAAAAAAATTTCGCATGAATTAAAGGAGAACATACAAATATGGAATATTAAAGTTCTCCTATAAAATTAAGAGATATTTAATGTACCACTTTTCAAAAAAAATAAACACGGATTAATGGAGGACAAAAATGTCACAAAAAATCACTAAAATTCAAATAATGTACTTAAATATAAATAAGTATTAAAATTAAGGATTTAATTACCCAATATTTTTTCTGTATATTTTTTTATAATTAAGTCTAATTTACTTTTTTCCCATAGAATAATGGATACTTCAATCGAGTTATTTGGCCTACTTGTTATCAATGGATTCATGGGTACTTCTACTAAAGATATATCGAAGAGTTTGTGATGTACAAGTCAAAAATCAAAGTTTATTAGCAGTTTGGTCTAAAATTCTTAAAAATGTAATTTTTTATGATTAGATCGGCAATTATCCGACAAAAGGTGATTATTCAAGGTAAGCTCAATGAATAATGGAGATGGAATAACAATTGGATGGTTAGGACATCAATGGCAATCTGTCCAGTTTAATATTAAATTCGCGAGTTGAATCTCATATTTTATATTTTTATTTTGAAAAAATTATACTCACATATTTGTAAGTTTGTCACTTAATTACTCAAACCTTCTGACATTTAAAATATTACATACAAACCTCATAAAGTTTGTACACACGTAACACTTAGATTATACCGTCAATGTCCGTTAGCCTATCTAAAATTATACCTAAACCTCTTGAAATTGATAAGTGTATAACACTTAAGCCCCTAAAAATTGAAATATTACACTTAAATCTCTTATTAGTTACAGAACTTACAGAATCTATTAAACGATCAAATTACTCAAATTAAAGATAGAAAATATTGTATCTATTACAGTTTGACCCCTTATTTATTTTGTAGTCTTATTTCAATAGATAGTATAATTGTATGTAAATAAGTGTTGAATTGAGTTATTTGATATATTTATATTGATTACTATATACGGTTCATATTTTTGAATCACTTATTGACTTAGGCGTTAGAGAGTCGACCACCGGAGCTGTCCTCTAGTTTTCAACTTCCTTTTCAGGTGATCAAAGCCTAACAAACTAATATGTAGATCATTCAAATTTTGTCATCAATAGTATTAATTATAAATTTTTTTAAAAAAATTAAATTTTTATTTTTGAATTTATTCCAATAAATGACATAATAGAACATGATTTTTTATTGTAAAATTTAAAATATTTGATATTTTATATTTAATTGGAATATTTTTAGTTTAAGTGTAATATTTTAAATTTGATAGGTCTAATTACTACACACCTACAAACTTCAAAGAATCTAGGTATAATTTACTAATGGACATTGACAACAAGTTCTAAGTTTTATGGGCATACAAACGTCAGGAGATTTTTGTGTAATATTTTAAATGTCAATGAGTCTAAATGATTAAATGCAAACTTTAGGGAATTTGAATATAATTTTCCTTTTATTTTTGTTACGTGTTATGAATGTATTATTGTCCACTACAATAATTGATTCTTAATTATAATAATAGTTATTGTACAATGTATTAAAAGGAGCACAATCACAAGCCCAATCTTCAATATTTTCATGCCCAATGAAGTCTGACGAATGAACCCTAATCTCCACTAATCGGGCAGATTTGGCTACCCGGTGGCTAATTGGTGTGCTAATCCTCATCTAGTAGTAAATATTAGATGTAACGGTTCTATTATATCAGCATTAAGATGTAGTATAACCGTCCAATAATAAATAAACAAGTAATCAAGTGAACATGTAGTGATTACTATTTTTACATAGAAGAGGAGTCATTTGAAAAAATGAAGTTTATTTTGCGTAATTATTGAATTATCATTGAATGATTACACTACGTGATAATATTAACGAGGTATAACCATTACACCTAATATTTACTCCTCTACGACCTTGAGCCTCAAGTACTCAATTCAAGATAGAGTTGTACTATTTCGCCAGTTGTTGAATTGTTTGGTGTTGTCAAATACTAACCTTAATCGTAATTTATTTGAACTCATTGTATCATTTTCTTAGTATCATATCGATGGCAATGTGTAAAACTTGACTTGTATTCATAAATGGCCACTACAGCTTCAGCTGGGCTACTTCACAGCTGAGACCCAACAGCATCTGAGTTAGTTTCAAACTTTGTATGTATAAAGGGTTCAAAAAGAAGACTTATATTTGAGACAAAACATGATCCGGGTGTAAAATTTTGAATGTAAAATCATGTATCACCCATATAATTGTGACATTGAGAGGAAGTTTAGGCTGATCAAAATAAAATGAGTAATTCTATGTTTACTAAAAAAATTACTAAAAATTGATTTTATCAAATGAGTTGGCAGTTCTATATTACTCTTGGACCCACTAAATGCTAATTAAAATATTTTTGATTGGGTATAGAGTTATCAACTCATTTGATAAAAATATTTTTTAAAAAAATTTTTGATAAGAGCAACTCCAACTCAACTCTTTATTTTAATTACTCAAAATATATTTAAATATTTCACTCTCTATTTTAGAGAGTCACTTTTACAAATTCACTCCAACTATACTCTCTATTTTAGTTAATTATTTTATCTAATTTTCACTAACTTTCAATAATTTATAAAGGATTGCAACATATATATAAAGAGATAGAGGTAGAGAGGGAATTTAGAAAGACTAAATGACTCTCCACAGTTGGAGAGCCATTCAAGTGAAATGGGAAATAAAGAGTGGGTTGGAAAATTTTTTTTAGTGTTTGGCTAGCTAAAATAGCTAAAAAGACGGAACATAGAATGAGTTGTAGTTGCTCTAAGCATAGCGTTACTCAAATAAGATATCGAATTTGGTTAAACTTTCTCCCTATATAATTGAGTTGAAATGTAATACCATAGGTTATTATTTGGTTTATTGTTCATATTTTCTTTAAGTTAAATGAAAACTAGTTT